CCGCCCCGTTTCCTGCATTCACCTTCTAAGTACCTACTCTTCATCTCAAGATCCTTCACAAATCTTCTTCTCTCCCTCGATCTAACTGCTGCATCCCTATTTCTCAACTGCCTGGAAAATCATATCAATTACCAAGCACCCCTTTTAATTCTCATTCCCATACAAATCAATAGCATTTAATTTTCAAATTTTACATTATTAATAAAATAATTGTCCATACATGTAAAAGCACCAAGCTGGAAAAAGACATAAATACTGGACTTCAAACTTACAAAAAAAATCCTCCACACAGTTCATCATATTCACAAATTAAATAAATGCACATAAAATTAGCCAGCCATGTCCTGTAACAAAGACATAAATAATGGACTTCAAACTTACAAAAAAAAAATTCCACACAGTTCAATCATATTCACAAATTTAAAATAATGCAAAAAAGCCAGCCATGTCCGATAATTATATTACATATGAAAATTGCCTATTATTAATCTCCAGGATCCTAATTAAACCTAAAAAAACAGTATTCGGTTTTAAAATGATATTCTCAAGGAACTAGAGATACCTTCTCCGTTTCTTGGAATGGGATCGTCCGCGCACGTCATCATCATTATCATTGTTACGGTGTTATTTTCGCTGATTGTTGTTGTCGTTGGCTTCTAATTCGTGAACCAGCTTTCTTCCTCCTCCGGGGTAACAGGAAAGATTATCGGAAACATTAGAATCTTTATCAGTTGCCACGTCAACGACCCCGCACAAGGAGCAGGAGAATCAACAAGTATATCTGAAAAGAATCGTCGAGCGATTGCTGATTCAGCGGCTCTAAATCGTCATCATTATCCTTCATTAACAAACTCTCGACCTCCGCCGCCCATGAAGATACCGAAACATCAGAGAGGGATTTCGAGAAAGTCTCCACCGGTGATGGTCGACAACTCCGAGAAAAGATCGTTCCAATCGATGTCACATTCGATAAAGACGTTATCTTCCATTCTATTTACGATCAAAAATAAAAACAAAATTGAAAGAAAATGAACAAATAAAAGAAGAAGAAAGAAGACTATGGTTAAACCTACAGAGAATTATTTCGTTTCATAAATGCAAAGGCTGCCATATATCGGCAGTCTTTGACGCGTATTTAGTTCCTTTGTGAGCAAGCAAAAGACTACTTTACGAGTATTACCTCAATCGTTCCTGTGTGCGGTCCCACACGCAACACGTTAACAACTGATTACGTGGACCAATTAAAAACATTTCTTCACAGATTAAGTTATTCCGCGTAACATGTGATCTATTAGACTGCGTTGCCGTCATTCGACCAATGAAAACACATTTAGTGGAGGATGAGAACGATCTAGGCTTTACACGTGGAACATGGTCTCTTGAAAACTAAAATTAATTTCGAAGGGTTCGGTAGTTTTAAAACAAGTTGCTGTGAACGTAATATAAAAGGAATATAATTCCTCCTCCTGTTCCCCCCTCTTTTTTTTTTTTTTTTTTTTTTTTTTTTTAATTTATTATTTTAAAACTAAGTAGATTAATCTATAAGCGATCAACAGTTTTGAGAGATAAAGAAATTCAACTAAGACCATGTCTTAACCACATATTCCAACACTCATTTTATTATTTAACGTATTCCTATAGTAGATCCCTCTCTTCCAATGTTATGTAATTTAAATTTTGTTGAAACATCAAATTAGAATAATACTCTAAATTTTTGTCATTAAATAATACAAAATACTATGTTAAATCAGTGAAATCAAGCCTGAAGGCGTGATTGTACTTGTTGTCGTTACTTTGCTTAAAATGCTCAATATCGATATTACTTGCAAACCATTCAAATACAATATAAGGTAGGCATGACAATGTTCCCAAGGATTTTAGGAGTGTTTCGCCCGTCCCATATGGGCAGGGAAGCTCAATTTTTTGGTAGGGACGAGGGTGGAGGTTATTTAATCCATGTCTTCAGGGATGGGGCGAGGGGGGTGATGCCTTTCCTCGGTCCGTCGAATAATAATAAAATTAAAAAAAAAAAATATATATATATATATTTACTTTTCATTAATATCCCTATATTTCATCTAATTACACAATATCCTACCTATATAAACCCATATCTTCCTAATTTCCCTCGCCCTAAACAATTGAACAAGAACAAATCTTACCCATTTTTAGTATAATTAATTATGTTTAAACGATTAAATTTAAGTGTTATCATATGGACGAGAATTAACTATTGTGTTTAGTAAACTCAAATTTATTTATGCTTATATAAATTAACGGAACAGGGACAGGCCTCCAACATTCCCTTTGGGACAGGGAAGGGAATTCCTGTCATCCCCGTAACAGGATGAGACAAGGTGGGAAATGATTTTGAGGGTGGGAATGGGTACGGTGAATAAGATCCCCGCCCCGCCCCGCCCCATTGCCATGCCTAATATAAGGTACAGTCTACCTAGCATCCCATTAATTTCTGACAAATAAAATCAATTAAGCAATTAGGAATCAGGTTAAAATGTTGTCGAGCAGTAAAATCTAGTGAAAAGATTATAGTTAGGAGTTCAAATTTCATGCCCCGAAGTAAGGCTATGAGCACTGACATTCATCATCAAACAGAATTTTCAATATAACCAATTTGTAGGCAATGCAATTATACTTCCAATTAATTACCAATACCCATAAACCATTTCTAAACATTTTCATTAGACAAAAACCTGTCATTCATCTAAATGAAAACTGGGTATCACTTATCAAATAATTTCCAGCATTTAATAGTGTTCTCAGAAGCTGAATGATCACAGTAATGAATATGAAACAACACTTCAGGACATAAAGATTGTCAAGGAAAACAGAAAGCTTTTCAATCATATTGAAAAACTTTGAACTTTGACAACCTGCCGCAAGGACTATTGGCTGGAGTTAATAACATGAGGTGCTACATTGTCGACCGAAATTAACGTAGTTCTTACCGAGGACAGAGTAAAAAACACAAGTACACATCACCGATGGCTAGTTCGACCAATTTAATGATGCGACATATTCTTGCTCTACCCACGATGAAACAAGAAAATTGAAATTGAACTTAGCAGCAATTCATGTTAAATAATCTTTCGATCTATATAATGAAACAAAATCAGTTTACTTTCCCAGCCAAATTACACTTCCTCTTAAATCATGAAAGAATCGAAGTACATGATTGAGACACTAAGTGATCAACTTCTTGTGTATTCTGACAAATTCTGTATTCAGCTTGTGCAATCAGAACAGATTTGACCCTAAAAGCTTTGCTAGAAAGAAACAAAGAAAGAAACATTAGGGAAAAAAAAAGATAAGATTCTGAATAAAAGAAGAAATAAGACCCATATATGACCATACTTATTGGTCTCAGTTGGGTCTGTATTTTCAAGTTGCAAGAGCAACCAACCAGCTACCTACATGCTGCTTTGGAACTTAAAATTGCGGTTCAATTAAAACACGATATCAACTCTATCCACTACTGAGAATACTGCATTGAGGTTTCACAACTACAGCATGGGAGATCGCAACGACAACAAGGAATATCAAGATACTACATAACCTAAGTATCTGAATGTCACGTATAAGCATTGATACTGTGACTAATTCCCAGTAATAGTAAAAAGAAAAAAAAGACAGCAGAGAAATTAGCAGGAAAATACTTCATGTATCATTTTCTAAGCCACCTATATAAATGACATGGCAGAAAACACAAAACTAAAGGAGGCTTCTTAAATTAGTTTGACTCATGAGACAAGTTTTTAAAACTATAATTATATAATCTTACGACCCAAACCAAAACAATGGTAGCATACAAAATATCCAATTTATTCCTTACATGCAGCTGACCTAAGCCATCTCACATATTTATGCATTACAAACCTATTCTAAGAGACAATTGTTGGGGAACTATTGCACATTAAAGGTTAAATCCAGTGCTATGTTCTACAACATTAAATAACAAAAAGAGAGACAATTCAAGGTTACAACAAAACAAGTATGGTCCTTACTGAACTTGGCTCAGGATTGCTGAGACATGCTAATTTGCTATAGACTCAAGGTTATCTAAAAACCATAATAAATATGGTCCTATATCACCTTGCATATATCAGGTCAGAAAATTTAATGCGCTCCAAACACGATTATGAAACAACTATAGTCTGATAACATGGACAATGCCCAACCAAACTATTGAAACCCCCAGGATTACTAGTTATACACAATAACTCTTGAAGTTGAAGCCAAAACCTCGAGGCATTTATCATGAACGTAGAAAACATTCGATGAAATTAGAGAAGCTAAGTTAATTTAAATGCTGGCTGTAGTGAATTTGACTAGTATCCTCAGAAAATTTCTGTCAGCAACACCAGCACCAAGTTCAGACTTAGTCTATGAAAAGTAATTAATTCTAACAGTCTTCTGTAACTAACCTCACTATATAATATATAGCCTGAAAACAAAACACCTATATTAATAAATACCCCCAGCTTGTATATTGAGAAAAAAAAAAAAAAAAATCAAAATAAGATTAAAGAATCCTAAACTCAAGCCAACTATTAACCTCAAATTAATCGAGACTGCAGTAAAAAAGAAAATTGATGAAGATTTGTAAGGTGTGAACAATAAATGTGTTCTCCAGAGAGCACTTAAAAAGAAGAAGAAAAAAAAGGTCTGCCTAAAATAGGAGTTACGAGATTTTGCATACAACAGGGAGGCAAACAATGAAAATAAAACATAAGCTCAATAACCCAGTTGATGAGAGTAGCACTAATGAAGCAACTCGAAACTACTGGAGTCAAATTACCACCACAGACCAGCAACAAGACCATGACACTTTAAATCCGAGATTAAAAAATAATAATAAGTTATTCTTATTTCGTTCATAGGCTCGGTTGATTTTACTAAATGGTGATCGATCCAGTGTCTAAGGGGAGGGAAAGGGCCAAGGTAACAAGTTAAGAACGAGATGCGAGAAGTGAAGGGGGAGATTATCCTGAGGACGAGGAAGATCCGCATCTCACGGAAGAGAAAGATAGTAGACTGTCTCTGCTGTCTCTATCATATTTGTGTCTTCCACGGTCACGGTCACGGTCACGGACCGGGTCCCTATAATCTCTATCTCTATCACGCCTATCATAATAATCCTTATCTCTTCTGTGTCGCGGACTCAAACTCCTGCTCCTGCTTCTACTTATACGATATCCACGGTACCTCCCAAAGAGCTTCCTCCTTAATTCCCGCCCAATCAGTTTCACGTGCATAAAATTACAATAACCGCCTCGGTTACAGTTATTCTCCTCGAATTGCCGACACGTGGCTTCACGAAAATCTGTCACGGGAGAGAAATCCGCTATAATTGGACGACCCGAATAAAATCTTCCTTGTAGAGCGTGTAAAGCGGCCGCAGCTTGGTCTTCCTCTTTAAACTGGACATAAACATTTCCGATCATGTGGTCGGCGAGATTATCACAGACATTAAGACTCTCGATCTCACCGAACTTGCTGAGTTCTTCAAAGATGTCTTCATAGAAGTCCTCAAAGTGTTCTTGAATTTTGCGAGGGTCAATGGGCTGGCCCTCGACGTCGACGCCTGGAGTGATCATGTCAGGGCGCTGGTACATGTTAGATAGTAAGAGAGTTGGGGAGATGGTGGGGCGATTATGAAGGCGAGAGCAACGGTCACCGTGACGACAGGCGCCGATCTTGAAATAGAAGGGACAGTTGACGCGGTCCTTCTCTGTGCCGAATATCGAAGCCAAATGCTCCGCCATGTCTAGGGTTTGGTTTGAGTTTTGGTAGGAGGAGGAGACGAGAGATGGGGAAATGGATTTTGGAAGCTTCTAGTTTCCCCTAATCATCTGCTTTTTCTTCATTCAAGTTAATGAATTAATGGACGCATAGTATATGTGTGTGTATATATATATAGATGACTGTAGCATCTTAATCTTTGCGGATCAATTACGTAAACGTGCAGATTTTTTTTTCGGGGTTTTGTCGGATGATTCAGAAGCAATTGGGATGAGATGTAAACCCAGGCCCATATCTACACACACAAGGCCCAGCCATCCATCTCTGTTAACCATTTGATTGTTATAAAGATCAAGGAGAATGTGCATTAGATGTTGATAGACTTTTGCGATCCATTAATTCAATATGTATGCATAATTGCAGACCAACCAGGTACTGAATCGAGAAGTTAACTCCAACAAAAACTATTCAGCTTGTGGCAAACAAAATGCATAAGATTCAAAATCAAGAAGAAAAAGAAACAAATTTCATTACTACATAGGCAACAAAGCAACAAACTCCGACATATTGCACAAGCATGCAGTTGTGCATTACATCTTTTATTGTTTCTGAAAATTTTGAAACATAACAAATAAACATGGATCAGGCTTTGGAGAGAAAAGCTGACCCCATGTATTATATTGTTCAGCATAGTGTTAGCCTTCATGAATATAATCATCTAGGAAGGCTGTTAGGAGGAAAATTGCGTAATGGGTTCTTCCTCAATAGCTCTGTTTCCCTGCACAAGTTGAGCTGGACAAAGTTAGTCTTGATTTTTCACCCTATAGGCTTATAGCAGAGGACACTTGAAATACTCTTTTGTTTTACCTTTTAATATCTTGGCCATCTCCCTGCTTGTCCTGCAAAGTTGAAGACTTGCCATGCTCACCCTCGTCTTGATGTGTTTTATGCGTTCTGGTAGAATTTCGATAACAAGTTAGCAACAGGTTGAAGACAAAATATCAACAAGAGATCCAAACCCTTCATGAGCATCAAGTGATTGTTCATCTATATGCAAATGCATGTTCCCATGTGGTATTTAAGCATACTGTAATGTATTTACTTACTCCACATTTTCCTCATCAATGAACACTTCAATGTGGGTACTTGCAGTTGCCCCTCCAACTCTAGGCACAGGCCTTTGCGGAATCTGAAAGAAATGCGAACTTCAAGGGTTAGATGTGATTTTCAGAATTTGTGGGAAATCATAGTCTAAGGTGATCAGTAGACAGAAAAATTGTGAAAGTTGTTGATATGGAGAACCTTGTACGAAGTCCACTTGGTAGGTACTGCATTATTTTCTTTGTTTCTCTCAGCTTTAACTCCAAGACTGTGCCAGGCACAATGATCTATCTTTGACTTATCCGGTTGATGACTTGACATGGCATCAACATTTGTATCTTTGAAAATATGCAGGGAACCTTTTTGATTCCTACAGAAGCAAAATGTACACTAATTAGACAAAAATACATACATTAAACATATAATACTAAACTAGGTAATGTAGCCATCATTCGTTGAATTGTTTACACAGGAAACTACTAGCACAGAACATGTAACGACAATGAAGAAATCAGGGAACAGATTCTAGAATATAGTTGGCAAAGTTAATACATAATGGAAACCACAAAAAAAGCACATCTATGATAAATAAATAAAAAAAATGGGACAATTGCTTGCTCAGACTCACTTAACTGTTCAACAAGAAACAGCAAAAAGTTAATTCGTTTCGGAAACACCAATAACAATTTGGGCATTATCGAAAAAACGTGTCCCCTGAATTGGAAAATGGAAAAATATTTTCCCACAAAATTTGCAATAGACAAAATATGATGAAAGGAAAACGAGCAATAATCTTACCCATCTAGCTTCAACTTTTTCCTCTGCTGATCAGTACTCTGCATAGTCTGCCTTCCTGCAGAAACAGGAAGACAAAGGAGATGAGCAATAATTCATGCAAAACTTCTAAAGACATAGAAAGCACTACCACTTACGATTATCTTCCCTAGCCAGGACAGTTCCAAAGCTTCTGGCTGGCAAGTGATTTTCCTCCAAGTCCTCCTGTAGTTTGTAGATAAAAAGTGATAAATAGTCTGCTGAAAACTTGAATTAAATCAACTCATTTAATAGAAGTTGCATACATCGGCAGCTTTTGGTCTTCTCATTGAGCGTACAAGAAACTTTTTGTAGGCATCCTTCAATTTTTCCGTTGGTTGAGCATTCCTGTTTAGACGAAAAGATAATAAATACAATAATTTATGCAAATTTGTCAAATGATGAACAGAAGAATTCAAATACTGAATTTCTTAAGGGACTTGATGCTGCTGTAACATAATTAATCCTATTCATGATCCAAATTGGGCATTGTCATCTCATTTCAATAACACCGTGGCATTGATTTCTATTTTAATTTTGTACTCCAACCCTCCACCAAAGCCGGCCCCTACTTGTACTCCGCAATGTATGTGGCAGAGCGCACCTTCCTTTGGCTATTAAACATTACAGGCTAATTATAAATTTGAGAATATGGTCCTAATTTGGCTAATTCAAGCATTTTGTATGTTGCATTGAAACGGTAATATCCAGCCGCATACAGATAATATCCGATGCGGTAAACCACTCTTCTGAAAACATGGAAAACTAATAGTGCACTAAACAAGCACGGATTTCAATTTACTATTCACTGCATGCGAAATCAGACAGAAGTTTACCTAGATATTCCAAGGCTGAATAGATCATTTGCTGCTTTCATCTTAGACTTGGATTCCATATGCAAAGCATAGGCTATGTAGTATGCAGAATGCGTCTTCCCAATGTCATTTGCGTCTAGGAAACTGAAAATTACTTCAGCATCAACACAGTTTTCAGCCTGCAAAAGAAATTGTTCATAGTAAGATGGACTACCCATTAAGGAAGAAGATATTTGGGGAATGCATGCTCAGAAACACTTCAAAAAATTACAGCAGGGAAATGTTGTGAGAGAAAACAGAAACCCACATATTCCAGCCACACTTTGAGGTAGCGGAGATCATCCTTGTAACGTTCTGAATGCCAAAACGTGCGAACACACTGTTCGTATATCACAAGCAATCCTGAACTGTCTCCACCAGCTGGAAAAGCCTCTTGGACCCATTTTATACACCTTAAATGTACAAGATAAAAAAAAAAATTATTTCTTCTTTTTTTTTTTTTCATGTATTTTGGGGAAAATCAAGTTGAATCTCTGACAAACCGGATTAAATTAACTTAAAACACTCACTGGAGCCATGGGTGGAGAGGATCATCTCCTTGGTACTCATCGATAGCTTCAATCAATCTCCTAAAAGATTAAGAAAAGACGGTTTAATGAAGCGTTTAAAAACAAACAACAAGAAGATATAGAAAGAAATAAAAACCTTCGATTGTCAAGCAGAGACTTCTTGAGTTGAATGTCGTTGTGTGAGGCAAGGGAGTTGTTCAGTAGACTAATGTTGCGGCCTCTCTTCAAAGGCCTAATGTTTTCCTTGAAGAGTTCCCACTCATTCCCAGTTTCTTGTTTGGACGCAAGAAACTCTGTCTCTGGATCTATACTCTGAATCTGGATATCCTCCATTATCGCTAATCCTCTTCTTGGCCGGTGGCTGGGGAGATTGGAGACGAAAAGAAAGAAACAAGATTCAAATTTTGAAATGATACAACGGTCGGTTAAAGAACCGCTGATTATATCAACATATATATTAGTTATTTAACTGGGCTGGGCCATGAATATTTTAATATTTTGGAGCGCCTCATTTTTTCCATGGCCCCAGATACCTTTCTTCTTTATTTTACTATTTTAGAATTTATATTTTCTATTAAATGTAAATCTTGAAATTATTAATTGTAATTAATGTTTAATTAGTATAATTATTCTAAAAATAAATTAATTCAATACTTAATCTAAAATATACTATTTAAATTAAAAATTTTATTGAAAAAAAATTCAAATTTACCCTAAAGTATAGATATGAAATTACTGTAAACATATGAAATCTTCCCCTATGTAGAGGTCATTTCCAAAAATAAGTTAGGAGCACGAGAATAAAGTGATTGGTGGAAAAAGGGACCGAAATTACATGTAGCCACCCAAAGTTTGGCCTATGTAAAAGCTAGTACTCCCAATTTGAAAATCAATCAACATTCTATCCGATTTTCAATTTCAAACATCAAAATTAATGGTCAAAGGGCTTTATTGTCATTTTTTCTATAAAATATAACACAAGAAAAAAAAAAATCATACAATCATTGATTGGCTATCGATTGTGACTTTGGCCAAGTTGCACGACTTACCCCCACAACAAGGTCTATCTCAATCAAATCTTCGCTTTATCGACGATTTTAGTTTCCCCTAATTTGGGCCTTAGCCATCGATGAAAGGCTAGGCCATATCTAGCCTGAATCATGCGCGAGAGACCAAATCATGTCTGGCCTTAATCGCCAATGAAAGACCACGTTAGATTTGGTCTCAAACGCTAGTGAATACCATTGGTTTTTAATCATCAACAAAGCCACGCCACTTCTCTAACTCTCACCATGTCGTCATTCATCACTGATACTTTGCAATCTGATTTTACTCAACGTTGATTTGATTTGGGTTAAATAGGGTTGATTTTTATAATTTTTTATTTTATTTTATCATCTACTAGAAATGAGATGTGTTTTTGTATTAGTTGCTTGATGGGTTTTGTTTTGTTGTAACAGATGTTTTGTTAATGTAAAATGAAAAGGATCAATGAATTATGTGAATGAAACAGTGATGAATTTTGCTCGTTTTGTTGTAATGGAATCAATGAAGATTAAACTCTAAAATGATCTAGTATTTAAAGATTTTGGTTAAGTTTTTATTAGTTGTTAATTTAGTATTGAAGATTTGGGTTAATTTTTTCTTATTAATTTGTTGTTAATTATTGTCTCTTAATTTGAAGATGTATTATCAATTTTGTGAAATTGATTAAATATTTTGGAGATTGATTAAAGATAAATGAGATATTAAAGATGAAAATTCAGGTTAATTTTGCCATATTGATTAATTAAAAATAAAGGAAATTAAAGATGAAAATCTGGGTTAATTTCTGATAGGGGGGCAAAATGGTCTTTGCGTCTTCTGCAGCTATGTCATATGCCAAAATAACGGAGGGTGGAAAGTTGATGGTTTTTCAAACTGTGGGTACTAGCATATATAGGCGAAACTTTGGGCGGGTACATGTATTTCGGCTAAATATGTATATATATAGTAATAAGTGAGGTGTTGTACCAATAGAAAAGCAGTGTTTGGAGCTTATCCTAATTCCCTACTTTCCAAAGGAGGTGGTTGATATGGATAACACTTATAAACGCTGCCATTGAAAATCAACATCCCTGTCAAATCAAACAACCAACACCGTTTCCCCACTAGGTCACAGCATGTACCAGAAAGAGGAAGTCCATTAAATAATTATCATTGACGTTAAAATTACCACAAAGGACACACCTTATTCATAAGTTTAGTATTTGAGTAAAGGGTATTTATGTAATTGAGTAATCTACAGTAAACTCCTTTCAATGATTAGAATCAGAATCAGTGGTCTTTACAAAGAAGTAAAGGAACAAGAAAGAAAGGATCGAGCGAGGATATTGAAGAAAGCAAATTGAGTTAATGGCATCTTTGGCTGCGACAGTAAGCGTTCCTTCAACAGGAACAGGAACAAGAACATCGTTCTTGGCTTCGAGATCTTGTTTTTGTTCAAAGAAAATAATAATAGTATCGGGTCAACAGAAGAAGGCGGAGAGAAGGAATGTGAGTGTGAAAGCGACGGGAATGCCAAAGTTTAAGGGGACGCATATGAGAGAGAAGAAACTGGCAGAAATGATCGAACAGAAAGTGGTTGAAGCTAAGCAAGTATGTGAGGGAGATCTAACCTCTGACGAATGTAAGGTAGCGTGGGATGAAGTGGAAGAAGTGAGCCAAGCCAAGGCGGACCTCAGACGCAAACTTGAGAAGCAAGATCCTCTTGAATTCTTTTGCCAAGACAATCCTGAGACTGACGAGTGTCGTATCTATGACGATTAGATTGAAGCATCGTATCAACGTACCCCTGTTATTTACTTGTTCTTTCTGCAAGTGTTTTATGTTGTACCGTGTTTGTAATCTTTGTAATTGTTGTCATATAATGTTATAAGATAATTCTCGTTAGTAAAATGCACATTTAACAGCAGCTTTGATTTGCTAGTATTCATAACTATAGTTTCCTTCATTCAAACCAGATTACAAGAACTTATCTGTAGTGACGAAAGCATATTCATCAAAGAAGAGAACCACAAAACAGACGTATAGACATTCAAACGCAGATTTAACTAGTTTCAACAAAATGTTTATATAAATCTGAATAATAAGAATACAGTCTAGATGCAATAGATTTTGAATTTGGTCCTGCACCCAACAAATATGGAACAATCAAAAAGCACCAACTGCAAAAAGAGAAGATCCAGTTGAGTAAAGCACGGCACAGTTCTAGCTTCTGTGAAACATGCAGGGCATTCCAATTTTTCGATGATATTTAAAAAAAATGTAATACACTGATTTGTAGATACGTTCATGTTAATAGTGCAAGCCTCATAGCAAAAGCAATAAAGAGTTAATAAGAGACATAAGCAAATAACACTGTTAGCCTCTGTACCAAAAGCAGAGAGTCCGAATAGAGTCACACAACTTTTTGTTCATTCTCGTCCACTGTCTTATCCGGGCCACCAACTTCTTTGACATCAACGGTGTGAAATTGTATTCTTGGTCACAGCCCATATATGAATCACACAAAATACAGAGTATATGATTTCTCCCAGCATCTGCAGGAGCATCAAAATAAGCTGGCCTTGACTTCCTTTGGAGTGACACCCTCTTATTGGCAAGCAACTGGTTAGTCTTGGTGTCACCAACAACAAGCACCAGCCTTCCTCTTGGCTTTAGGATATCTGGGGAATCAACAGGTCCCACCTCTGTCCTCCCCTCCACATCCCGCTCAAGGGTGACTTGCAATGTAATTTCTCCCCAGCCTTATATTATCACCATCCTGCACCTCGTAAGACATGTCTATGTTGGGGAAGCGATTGCAAAATCTTGCAATATCAGTTAACTGTGAATCAGACACTGCAGGAGCTCACGCCTCTCATCATCCTCCATCTCCACCAAATCAAACACTGTCTCTTGTCTTTCAGGATTCTCTTGGCATTTCTTCGCCAAATCTTTTGTGAAATGTGGGAGCTGAGAAGCATGGAATCGCGTTCCCACATGCCCTGAGTCAACATTTGACACGCTTCCATCGCAAGGAGTGCAAGGCTCAACCAACCATTACTTGAAATAACATCAACCATAGCTGGAGCAATCTACTAGCAGAAAGGAGAACCTCCCGCTGGGTCCAATGCAAGGTTCCCACCCACTGATTGCCTCGAGAAGTGTGTGAAGAAAAGCATTGCCTTAACATGTGGATCAGTGCATCTTGGATTCTCAAATGAAAATCTTGGTGATTAATTAACCTGCGAACCACCTCTTCCTCCCCAGGTCGTATAGGTAGTTGCGCATACTCTGAAGCTGAAGCAAGAATCTCCAGAAGACCCTTCATCTTGTCTTTGGAGTAAAGAAGAACTGAACCGTTCAATAGTAGTATAACTGAGTAATAGTAAGAAGCAATCAGACCATGATTTGAGGGAGAAAGGTCCATGTTTCGTCTATCCTGATGCACTTGCTTGCTTCCAGATCACTTAATGTGTTTTCAACCAGCTCCGAGAGGTGATCAGAGAGATGCCTGTGACTTAACCCTGGAGATGTAGTAGTTTGGATTTTGAGTGAGCCTCCTGTACATGAACGTCCAAGTGATGAAATCCACGCATCTTGCTTGTTCTCAATAACTTTTGCACAAATTCTGCATTGAAATTATCGTGTAGGAAATGATGCAAATGACTTTCGACAGGAAAAGCTTCATACAAGAAACTTCTTAGTATTCTTTGCGAGGGGCATGACAGAGGATGACACATTCCCAGAATTATCAGCAAAGGTCGACTGGCATGGCCCATCATCTGCAATAGATCTGTAACAGGATAGTCCGTATGAGCATTTTCTTGCCCATCATAATACTGTGTTCCCATCACAAACACCAAATGTGCTGTCAATGGCACCCCAACAGAGCGAACTGTTATAACACAAACCTGATGAATCCACCTTTGAATAGCTCTGAAACAACTTCTTGATCATAACTGCTTAAACCCTCAGCAAGTACCCCCATCCATGATGTAAAGTGGCTCTCAACGTCTCTTCACTGATACCACTAAGATATTCCTCAAAGTTTTCATGGGACGCCAACAGAAAAGCTGAATTCTGATCACATCCATACTTGATTGTCATCAGATTCACAGCAGTGAGTCGCACATATTTCTTGAAGGGACAAATACAAGTGCAGGCTTTCCTTCTTGGCATGTTGGACAATTGCAGTGTATGTGGGTTTCGTCATGGCTTGCACCTTGCATCAAATTGGCTATATCCACTCCTGAATATGATTTCCAGAGGTACAGGACGAACCCCAGGAGGAAAATTGAAAAGGCCATGAGAGGAAGCCCCTATCCATTCGCCAAGATCCTTGGCATTTGCAAGAGAAGTAGATAGAGCCACAAGCAGGATTGTTTTCAACCTGGTGGCAATATATCTCATCCGAGAAACAATCACCCCAAGACAGGACCACCTTGACCCCCAATCAGGTGGAGTTCATCAACGATGAAAAGACTAACCTGCTGCACATACTTCCTCTGTTTCCACGCGGGGATAGCATCCCATTTCTCTGGAGTACTGATAATTATTTGACCTTTCTCAAGCAGTTTCAGATCCGGGCGTTTCCCCAGTTAATTCAACCACCCGCATCCAAGACGACGGCCAAACTTCTCCTCCCAATCACGGAAACGTTCTTTGGCCAGAGCGCAATGGGTGCTATATATACAGCACGCATGACACTTTCAGATGCTTTTTGATGATCCTCAAAATGGCAAACTTGCACATATGGTCTTCCCGCTCCCTGTTGGCGCAGCAACCAAGACATTATCATCTGTATTATACAACACAGTAAGACCTGAGTCTGGACAGGGTTAAAATGCTTAAAATCCTTATAAAGGTTTTCATATGCTGGATTGCGCAATGCTGTCACTGGGAGAGGTTGCAAGTCCAAGAGCTCCGTAGGTGGAGGATACTTTTCTGGCAAAATAAGGTGCCTGAAAGAGACAGGTAAAACAGTTTGTGAACCCAGCCACTTATCTGACACAACACGTATAAAATACTGTGGTGGCAATGGTTCATAGATTGGCACAGTGAAATTCAGTGTGTGGTTCTACGTACTGCTTTTTCAGCATAAAATATTCATGATGAAGAATGTATTCACCATCATTATCCTCCACAATTACCCAAAATGGCTCCACATATCCATGGACCCTGTCATCCCACTGGAAGTCTGGTGTTATTGTAAGTTCAACCCTTAAAACAGTCCGAGTATTGGGTGAACATGCGCGCAAGGTTTAGTTTTGGGATGTGTGAACAAATCTGTGAAGTGTTGCCCATCTTTGAGTAACGAATGAGCTCCCCAAGCTCCGCAGCTGAGAGATCATAAACCTTTCCCATGCAAAATCTTTCTTCTCCAACTTCATTAAATTTCATTTGGATCATTGAACTGGCGGAGAGGTGTTTGGACATTCCACATCCGTTTGGTAACCATTTTGCTCAATTTAAGCTTTCTCTGCTAATTGTGCCCAACCCCGTTTCAATACAATCTCGAAAAGAGCTCTCATAGACGTCCCGCACTTCTATTGAATAAAATAACATAAAATGAGAAAAAAACATATATGAAATCTTGTGTTCATCAGGAATGATAAAGGAATGACAGAAGAACATGGCAACAAGAAGAAAACTAACCTGAGTGATGACACCATGTCAGAAACCAATGAAGCCCTTCAAGCTTTAGCTGAGAAATGTATGCCTGAGCAAAACATTAATCTTGGCTAGGTTCTTCCAGGCTTTCTTTATGGGAATGGGAACCCGGTCCAACACTTAGCCAGCTCCATCTTCTCATCTTGCTAACTGTTACATATTTGAATTCTTCACTAAGAGAAATAGCCGGCAAAGCTCAATATCACCCATTGTTGGCTTCAAATGCTCATTATAGGTGGCTATTGTCCCATGAGTTATATAGTAATAGCTCGCAATGCGACCCAAGTCTGTAACCTGGAAATATCCGCTTTTCCTATCATACTTGATCAAGTTATTTCTGTCCAAGATGATGCAGCAGAATGAATCTACAAAAAGAAATCAAACAACAGTCAAATATAAGTTCAGCAAATGGGAATTACTAGGATGATTTAAATAAACTAACAGTAAAATGGTCCAATCAGATGTGCAATGGACAAATCAACTTGGTGAGCCGCAAGGTGTACAAGACCGCCATAATATTAGAAAAAATAGACAAATACAAGAGGAGACTGAAAAAACTATTATTTTTTCTTATTGTTTCCCTAAAGACAAGTTCCATGTTGATAAGCAATCCGCAAGTAGATGAATAGTTGTATGAAATTACTATAAGAGACAAAAATATAACCTAAGGAAGTTGAAACAAAAAATAGCAACCACACACACAGAGACTCTCAAATCAATAGAAACTTTAAATCAATTTTAAAAAGTAAAAATTAAAGAGCTAGTGCAGTGATAGAAACAATCATGGGCAGAAATAAGTTTACATAAATATCTTCAAATGCCTAGTCAAATGCTCATGCAGAGGACCAAAAATTGATTCATTTTGGTGAACGAAAATTCCCCCCATACTGAGCAACACCATCAGGAGAAAAAAGAACAGATTAAAAATTCATCTAGAACTAACATGCATCCAAAAGATCAAACAAATAAATGAGAATGATAACAAAAAAGATCCTGCAATCGATGAAAAAAAAAAGAGAAGAAGAAGAAGAAGAGCTACACTACAATTCTTACCAAATCAGCTCTCCTCTCCCCCAATGGTATATCCTTCTTTCAGAACCTCAGGCGACAAACCATAAAGCAAAGGATTTCGTAACATTCGAATATACAGGTAAGTGTATCCAATCCAATTGCAGGCTTCTTTAGCATTTTGGACAGTCCCAAGGACAATTTCAGCATTTAGCTGATCAGCTAGTTTGGACACAAACTGACTTTCGA